TACTCGTAAAGTGTGCTTCTTAGCTCAAGTAGATATGTGAGACTAAATGTGCAGCTCCTGTCCGGAGGTGAGATGGGAAGGCCTGCAGGGTCAGGAGTTGGCTGAATGGAGATGGGAAATCCAGGGTGGAAAGGAGGAGTGTGCTGTTACAGTATAGGGAGAGCAACTAGGGTCACAAAACAATGTATGTATAAATTTTTGTAGGAGAGACTAACTTGAATTGTAATCTTTCACTTAAAGCACAATAAAAAAAAAATTAGGAAGAATAAAAAAGAATGACCCCTACCTGTTCATAGAATTTTTGTAGGCACATAAATGAGAAGAAAAGTGCCTAGAATAAAAACTGGGACTTAAGTAAGCCCTCAATAAATGTTAGCAATCTATATTAATCAGTTTTACAATCATTTTGTGTATCATTAAAAAAAAATGCTGCCAATTAAATTGTGACACGCCATTGATTGAAAGACGGATTCTGATTTCAGAGATGTGAAAATATGGAAGGGGCGCATTTTAGACTCAATAAAATACAGAATTATTGTGTCTTATGGAAGAGAAAGATTGTGGAGGGTAAAGAATGGGCAGTGAGAGGATGTTTTGGAAACTATGGGGTAGGATATTTTGGTTCTCTGCTCTACCAGGATGTAAAAATGCAAATATCTTTTTCTCAGTTCTTCCATTTCAGATGCAAAGTGCTAACCATTGGAACTCTGCTTTGTGAATAGTGCACAGAAAGATCAAGATAACGGTGTAATTAATGTAAAAGATTGTCTCCAGAATAGACATTTGCAAAGCAAAAGGATAGTCAAAGCATTTCAGGGTAGGAGCCCATTAAAATGAAGCTTCTCTGAAATGAGAATTACTGGGTAATAACACATCCTACATAACTGATAACTAAAATTTTTTAGGTAATTGGAAATACCAAGAAGAAACTTAAGTCCCGTTACTTTTAAAGCCAACCTTCTGGGTCAATGATGAGCAAAGTTCTGGACCTAACTTCAACTTGATCCCTCACATTGGCCATTCTATCAATGAAATCATAGTAATGTGCAGGTCTATTTGGAACTTTGAGCCTCAGTGTGTGAAATGTAAGAGTACTATGTAAGATGGAAGAACAGATCCTACATAATAAAGTTGTAAAAATCAATGCCAAAAAATAAAATCACAGGCAGAAAGTGTTTCCTTTAGTAAAGGATCTGTGGCGTTAGCTAAAGAAAAAAAAAAAAAAAATGTCAAGGGTGGCTGGGTTAATGAGCACAGCGAGTGCAGCTGCTCTTACCTCTGGAGACTAGGGTGCTGACGCGGATGGAGCGTGAGTGGAAAATTCGGGCAGTGATTGCAGCTGCCCTACCGGGTGGTTACTCTACATCAGTACGGAATGGGGTGTGATTGGCACCGCCTGCTGCGCACGAGATGCCGGACTGTAATTAGAGCGTCAGCGCCCATCGAAATACAGTTCAACAGGAAGAGCGGCGATGACTTAAAGCTGAAGCTACATTCCACAAGATAGCTTTGCTTTTTAAATTCTGTATTCTGATTCAGTATTCATTTAAAAAAAAAAAAAAAAAAAACCCACAGGCAATGCAGAATTCAGGTACTGTAGAATATCAGAATAAATGAAATGAGCCCGAGCTTTCTGTATAATGGCCAATATTTAGTGATGTCCTCTACAAATCTCAGTGAAAGTCACTGCAGTGTATTCATTTCTCTTACCTGAGATTTCCTTTGCTGAATGGTTCTCTCTCCCATCTCATGCCTCTAAACCATTGTTTCTGTACAGAGACAGAGTTGACTCACCATAGCATAACATCAACAGAGAAATGACTTTTTGGTCTGAAGCGGGGCTTTGTATTCACCAAGAATGACTGACAATTGTGAAGTTAGGAACATTTGCTTTGAAGATGAAGTTGAACCTAACTTCACGTATCTTCTTTCGAATTTTTCAAAATTTCCTACATGTATTAGGAATTAGGTAAATCACAATTGTTCTAATTTATTTCTGGTGGTCTTCTGGGCCTAACAGAATTGAATCCACTTATTTAAAACACACTTGATTTTTCATTTTTTGTATACTTAGTACAAAAAACCAAACCAAACCCATTGCCGTCGAGTCGATTACGACTCATAGTGACCCTATACTTAGTATATGCAGTACAAAAATATTTTCCCCTCCTAAGTTACAATCCACTCAGGTCTTACCCTTTTGTTAGCTTGTTGTGACTAAATCAGCAAGAAATAGAAAAGGGCCACTGTAATTGGTCTGGGGGTCACTAGTGATCCAATTTGGTTAAGCAGCATTTTTGAAATCCTAGATCTCTAACTTGTTCTCATAGGGAACCTTATTTTAGTTTCTCATATTTGGTGGAGGAAAAAAGGATTAGTCTAGAAGTGAATTAGCAGGCATACAGCAAAGGACCTCAGTCTCCAGATTTTGGTCTGTTTCACACATGATCCACACTTACACGCATATCCCATACACACTGCCATATGCAGGCCTTTCAGTCCACATGTAGAAATCTAGTTTCTTGTAGAAATGTAGTTTCTTGTAGAAATGAAATTTCCAGAACACATGATGAAGTCAGTTCAAACTCCTTGATAAGCATTATTTTATAATGCACTCTTCCTGGTTCCTGGGTAAATGTTCTCAAATTGTCTGATGAAGGAATAGATTCCCAGTAGTTTGCATTCTTGTCACTAGAAGGATGCTTCCCATGCATCCCACAGAAGCGACTGCAAACAGCTAAAAATTATCTAGAAGTCGTGTATACCATCTAAATGGAAATATGGTTCATAAACCATAGGTATCTGATTTTAAAAGTCATCCTACAGACAATTACAGATGGTAGCGCAAACAGTTAAGCACTTAGTTGCTAAACCAAAGGTTGGCGGTTTGAATCCATCCAGTGGCTCCTCAGGAGAAAAACCTGGAGATCTGCTTCCGTAAAGAATACAGCAAAGAAAACCCTATGGGGCAGTTCACTCTGTCACATGGGGTCACAATGAGTCAAAAACAACTGGAAGGCATCTAACAAAAACATGTGCTTTTATAATTAGTCTGCCATGTAAGCCTAAATGATTCAGAAGAGACGGGGATGTTCATGAACTTTTATGCTGGGTAGACAAGCCTATAGTTAACTTTGTAACTTTGTGGACTGGAATGCTGGCTTGAACATCTCATGCAACTTTACCGGCCCACCTGCTCAAGGGTAGCAACCATGGAACTGTACAGCAGCAGTACTTGCATTGGACAGCACTGCATGCTCAACAATGTTGCAATCTGGAGCCTCTATAAATAGTAACAAGTTACTATTTACTCAGTACACTTTCCCTGTGCTATGTATTTGTCACAACCTTATGAGCTAATAACTAACATGTTTAATAATAAACACCAGGCATGAAGCTACGAGCAATTTATGTGCACCATCTCAATTGTCAGAACCATCTTGAGAGGCAGGCGCTATTAGGAAACCGACGACAGACATTAATCATGTCACCCCCAAGCCACACAGCTCATCAGTGCCAGAGTGATTTAACTCTGGTCTGATAGTTTTACCACTATCTATCAATAATTGAAATGAACCAGGTTATTTATCATGCTCAAACTTGAATTTTGGATCTTCTAAACAGAGAATTTTGAATCTGCAAAATATTTTTTTTCCCAGCTAAAGTCCAAGTTACAAATAGTCCTGAGTTAGACTATCTGACAGACCTGAGCCTTTTTAAAAATCTGATTTGCTTGTTTTCAGGACACCCAAATTGTCTTCATTTCAGTTTTGAACAAATACATTGATAGTCTTTTCACCAAAAATAGCCTGGACAAATTGGCTTAGCCCTTTCCCAAGTGGTATTGAATAAAGCTGGTCAGTGTGAAGCATGTTTATTTAATGCAGCTTTTTGTAAAGCAAATCATGCCCTAGGTAAACATAGAACCGGCTTGTCTTCTGCTTTCTGCACGAGACAAAGCTGAGCCATTGAGGAGTGCTGCCTTCTGTAAATGACTGATAGCTTAAAAAAAGTGTGCAGTAACCAGATTAACGAAGTATTTCTACGAGCTTGTTTTGTCTCATTATAGTGGACTGGGATGTATACCTGGAGCTCTCTTAAAGCACCTAGAGACTCGGTCCAATCTCACGGCTTCTATTCTTTCAGTTTCTCCTCCCAAAACTTGCTAATGTCGACTTTGAAATTCCCCAACCTGTCTTGGGTTTAAGTTTTATAGCAGATGATGATTCTTAACTGAAGCACACATTGTAGCCAGGATGGTCTTTTGTGAAAAAACACCTGTTCAAGCATTCATCCCCTAGAATTTTCTCTGGGGTTATTTACAGAGCCACTCTTTAAAAATGTAAACAGGTGCTCAATATCATGGTTCTTAAAAACAGTTTTTGTCATCTGTATGTAGACAGGCATCAGAACCAGTTTCCAGTGAAAATACCTGACACCATGGCGATACAGGCTGTCACTAGACTACTGCTAACGTGTCTGCACGAGCAAAGCGTTCTCTCTCCGTTTCTTGATGAGCACAAGCTTTGTTTCACCATTAGTTCTGAGCCTAAGAACTTTGCAAGACTGCTTTTAGAAGAATGTAGTTAATAACTTTGTTTCAGAATAGCCCATCTGTACTACTCACACTCATGTTCCTAAACGCAGGCAAGAAGGCATCTTACAGAGGGAACAAACGAAATCCCGGAAGAGCAGAGCTAGTCCAAGGTCACACAAGGAGTCTATCACAGAACAGATAGCAGCTGTCCTGGTTTCACAGTCCTGTGAGCTGCCCATCAGACTTGAAACTTTTTCATGGCACAGCCTCTGCAGGATCTAGAGGCCAGTAAAGAAAGAGCCTTGCTCAGCTCAGGGGGTTGGAGAGCAGGGGTCTAGGGCCTATCATTTACAGGTGTGTGTGGTCTAGGGCCCATCATTTACAGGTGTGTGTGTGTGTGTGGTAAAGGTCTAAGGATTTCTAGTGTGTGTGTGTGTGTGTGTGTGTGTGTGGTAAAGGTCTAAGGATTTCGTGTGTGTGTGTGTGTGTTGTAAAGGTCTAAGGATTTCTATTTTCTTCTCTCTAAACCCAGAAGGTATGCGGTACAACAAGTGCTGTGAGTAATGTAATAAATGAAAGGTTCCATGGTCAAACGAGTTGGGAAACACTGCATATTACATCCCCATCGCCAACATTCTTGGTGCATCAGGAAGCATATCTGCAGATTAAGGGTTGAACAGTCCTGCAGTAAAGAAACACCTTTATGTTTGTTTTACTAGTGGTCCACAGATTTACCTGGTCATGAACCATTTTCTTCCCTCAGTATCCCTCAAAACCGTTCTATGTAACTAATCACCTTTTTAGCAGAACACACCTTTTGGGAAAGGTTGTTCTAAATGTCTATGAAGAGTGTACTCTTTTGACACGCCACGTTTTAAAGAGATTAAATAGTAAATAGCATACAAACTTTGTAACACTAAGGAAACATGCGGAATACAGCTTGTGAAAGTAAAAAGTTTTATTCTGACTGATTTCTCGTGTGTCAGTTCAACATGGTGCCAGTTTTTAACGGCTACGATTTGGTTCCGCTGACATTTCATAATGCTACACAGAGCCACTCCTTTCTACAGGAAGTAGGCAGACATGGCTGCAAACACAAGCACGACTTTCTAGCAGCATGGCAACAGAACCCGCAGCCCTAACAAGTCTGCAACCTTTACACTAAAAACGGCACAAACGAAGCTGGTGACAAACGTGAGAAATGGGAACAAGATGGGAACACCCAAAGGAGCAATACATGTCCTGTAAAGACAAAGAAAAACCAAACATAGCTCTAAGGATTTTAAAGGATAATTATAGAAAAGGGAACCAAATATTTTACTCAAATGCTTTTTAGAGCCTTTCTGTAGAGATACAAATATATATATATATGTATTTATCCAAAAATATGTTTTATATAGATAAATGTTTCTCAGTTAAAGATGGGACCAAAGCTATAGTTATGACATAAAGCACTGTCTTTCATATGGTATTTATCCACCTGAATTTTAAGTTTCTTTAAGGTTAGTGCATTATATGTTTTCCAAATATAATTACTTATTCTTTTTATAGATAAAGCATTATTTTTTAAAAGGATTTGCACGTTAAACATTTTTCTAAGATGCTGTGCATATCAAATTTGTGACAAGCCCTATTAAGAATCATTATTAATAGACATAACAAAAAGGGCTAAATAAGTCAGATTTTCTTCTTTATAGTAAATAATCTTCTGATTTCCAGTTTACAGGAGTTTAAAATGCACAGGATTTTACTTCTTCACAAGTACTTTTATGTTACTACATTTTGATTCAGTATACATGGCCACATTTCCGCATACTGTAACCGCGAGTACGTATCTTCTTTTTAAAAAAAGGGGGGATGTAACACTAACAACCACTACCTATAAAATAAAGCACACAGTTATTTTGTAATTTTACAAATTTTTTTTTTCAGGTGTAAATGCTATAAAATAGTCCTAAAAATTAGAGAACACTGAAAACACATTAAAGTCTGACTTCCAACTTCACAGAACTTCCATTTTACCCTGAAAGATAACTTAAAAAACATAACCTTGCTGGAACAGGCTGGCTTGCTAACATTATAAAAACTGGTGAGAGCAAGAAATGGTATCACTGAGACGTGGGATTTCTGTAAATAGTTCTCTCTCCAAATCATTAGAAAAATGTTCAAAGGTAAAAAAACAAAACAGAATACAGTGGTGGTCCCTAAACTATCCTGAAGGCAGGTAGCTCAGTCTAAGCTAAAACATTTTTCCCACCCGTTGAAATCATCCTCCCCTCAAATGCCCTTAAAAAAACGCATGAAACAGTAAAACAGCAAGAATCAAAGAGCACAAACTGTATTTTCAAGAACAGAAAAATCTCTACTGCTGAAAGATATAGGAAAAAGCAGATTTCTTTGGGGACATTAATCAATTAACTTGCAACTCATTATGAAGATTTGTCTTTTCTATTACGGGGAGAGTCTGCTCCATTTGAAGTTACTGTTCCATTTACACCATTTTCTGAAAAGAAAAGAATCAGTGTTATTCTGTTTTATAAATGTATGGAAATAATATAATCTTTATACATAAAAGTACCTCAAAATAAATTTTAAAAAACAGTATATATTCTTAGGCTTTCAGATGACACTTACTGTCTAGCATAGGCACCAAGCAAGAGTCAGGGAAACCCAGCAGAAAGCAACTCCTAAGAAACCACAAAGCGAGACAGGAAACTAGAAGTCCCACATTGCTAGAGGGTCAGAAACTTGAATTCAGGGCCTGTCAGGGGAGCAGGTCTTTATAACATCTGGGAGGTTGATGACCTTGGAATGAGGGAAAACTGGAAAAACAGACCAGCTTTGAGTAGACAGAGTGATCATATTCAATCTGCTGGCCACAAGATATCATCCAGAGTCTCTAAAAAGTTTTGCACATCATGTCTACCATTCAATAAAATATTACCAGGCATGCCATAAAATAAGATCAAATGACTGGAAACGAAGAGACAAAACACAGCCAGATGATTCAGGTCTGAGGTTATCAGATAGGAACTTTAACAGAACAATGATTAACACTCAAGGAAATAAAGGAAAAGCTGGATAACAATCCCAGAACTGAAAACTACAGTAACTATAAAAATATGTATTTAATGAATATAATAGATTAGCCATAACAGAAGAGATTAGTAAACTGCAGAAAAAATTCAGATTAAAGCTCAGAGAGAACGAAAGGATGGAAAATACAGAAAGATATATCAAAACTTGTGACAAGATATGAGGAACAGGGTAAAGAGTTTAACGTGTATAACTGGCATTCTAGATGTAAAGAAGAAAGAGAATGGGACAGATGCAATGTATGAAGGAATAACTGCCGAGAATTTATCAAAACTGATAAAAGAAACGAAGCCACAAACTCAAGAAGCTCTACACAACACAAAATAGGATAAATACAAAGAAAATCATACCAGGCACACAGTAGTATAACTGCCAAAACTCAAAGGCAATAATTATAAGACTGGATGAAGAAAGACAAAATCAATATATATCCAAGGACAAAGAAAGGTTTGAAGTAAAACATATAGAAAAAGATATACCATGAGAACATTTAACCAAAAGAAAGCTGATGTCACTATAGTAAATTCTCACAAAATAAAGACAGACATTTGATAATGAAAAAAGGACAAACTCAACAAAATATAAAAATTCTAAACTTTTATGTACTTAACATAGCTTCAAAGTATATAAAGTATACACTTAAAAACTACTATCAACTTTACAATCATTGTGTGAATTTATTTTTATTACTGTAGTTTAAGTCAAAGTTTATAATTCAAGTTAGTCTCTCATACAAAAATTTATACATACATTGTTATGTGACCCTAACTGCTCTCCCTATACTGGGACAGCACACTCCTCCTTTCCACCTGATTCCCCGTGTCCATTCTACCAGCTCCCAACCCTCTCTGTCTTCTCGTCTCACCTCCGGACAGAAGCTGCCCATTTAGTCTCATGTATCTACTTGAGCTAAGAAGCACACTCTTCACGAGTATCATTTTGTGTCCCATAGTCCAGTCCAATCTTTGTCTGAAGAGCTGGCCTCAGGAATTGTTTTAGTTCTGGGTTGACACAGTCCAGGGGCCATGCTTTCTAGGGTTCCCCTACTCTCAGTCAGACCATTAAGTCTGGTCTTTTTACTAGAATTTGAGTTCTGCCCCCCACCTTTGTCATGCTCCATCAGGGACTCTCTGTTGTGTTCCCTGTCAGGGTGGTCTTTGGTGGTAGCCGGGCACCATCTAGTTCTTCTGGTCTCAGGCTGATGAAGTCTCTGGTTTATGTGGCCCTTTCTGTCTCCTGGGCTAATACTTTCCTTGTCTCTTTGGGGTTCTTCATTCTCCTTTACTCCAGGTGGGCTGGGACCAATTGATGCATCTTAGACGGCCGCTTGCAAGCTGTTAAGACCTCAGACGCCATTCACCAAAGTAGGATGGAGAACATTTTCTTAATAAACTTTGTTATGCCAATTGACCTAGATGTCCCCTGAAAGCATGGTCCCCAGACCCCCGCCCCTGCTACTCTGTCCCTCGAAGTATTTGATTGTATTCAGGAAACCTCTTAGCTTTGGTTTAGTCCTGTTGTGCTGACCTCCCCTGTAGTGTGTGCTGTCCTTCCCTTCACCTAAGATAATTCTTGTCTACTCTCTAGTTAGTGAATAACCCTCACCCTCCCTCCTAACAATTGTAACCATCAAAGAATGTTTTCTTCTGTGTTTAAACCTTTTCTTGAGTTCTTATAATAGTGGTCTTATACAATATTTGTCCTTTTGTGACTGACTAAATTGACTCAGCATAATGCCCTCCAGATTCCTCCATGTTATAAGGTGTTTCACGGCTTCATTGTTGTTCTTTATCGTTGCGTAGTAGTCCACTGTGTGAATATGCCATATTTATTTATCCATTCATCTGTTGACGAGCACCTAGGTTGTTCCCATCTTTTCGCTATCGTGAATAGTGCTGCAATGAACATGGGTGTGCATATACCTATTCATATAACAGCTCTTATTTCTCTAGGATATATTCCAAGGAGCAGGATTGCTGCATCATACGGTACTCATATTTTTAGCTTTTTACAGAAGCACCAAATCAATTTCCAAAGTAGTTGTACTTTACATTCCCACCAACAGTGTATAAGTGTTCCAGTCTCTCCACGACCTCTCCAACATTTATTATTTTGTGTTTTTGGATTAATGCTAGCCTTGTTGGGGTGAGATGGTATCTCATTGTAGTTTTGATTTGCATTTCTCTAATGGCTAATAATCATAAGCATTTCTTCATGTGTCTGTTAGCTGCCTCAGTGTCTTCTTTGGTGAATGCCTGTTCATATCCTTTGCTCATTTTTTAATTGGGTTCTTTGTCTTTTTGTGGTTGAGGTTTTGCAGTATCTTGCAGATGGTACAGATGCTGATCGGATTTGTTGTAGCCAAAACTTTTTTTTCCTAGTCTGCAGGTTATCTTTTGACTCTTTTGGTGAAGTCTTCTCATGAGCCTAAGTGTTTGATTTTTAGGAGTTCCCAGTTATCTAGTCTCTCTTCTGGTGCTTAAGCATTGTTACTTATGGCTCATATTATGTTTATGCCATGTATTAGGGCTCCTAGCATTGTCCCTATTTTTTCTTCCATGATCTTTATCATTTTTGAGTTGGTATTTAGGTCTTTAATCCATTTTGAGTTAGTTTTTGTGTATGGTGTGAGGTATGGGTCTTGTTTCAGTTTTTTGCAGATGGATATCCAGTTATGCCAGCACCATTTGTTAAAGAGACTGTCTTTTCCCCAATTAATGGACTTCGGGCCTTTGTCAAATACCAGCTGCTCACAGGTGGATGAATTCAACTCAGCTCCATTGATCTACGTATCTGTTGTACCAGTACCAGGCTGTTTTGACTACCTTGACGGTATAATAGGCTCTAAAATCAGGTAGGGTGAGGCCTCTCACTTTGTTGTTGTTCTTGAATAATGCTTACTTATCTGGGGCCTCTTCCCTTTCCGTATGAAGTTGGTGATTTGCTTCTCCATCTCATTAAAAAATGCCAATGGAATCTGGATCGGGATTGCATTATATCTGTAGATCACTTTGGGTAAAACTGGAATTTTCACAATGTTAAGTCTTCCTATCTATCAGCAAGGTATGTTTTTCCACTTATGCAGGTCTCTTTCGGTTTCCTGCAGTAGTGTCTTGTATTTTCATTGTATAGGTCTTTTACGTCTCTGGTTGAATTTATCCCTAAGTATTTTATCTTCTTGGGGGCTACTGTAAACGGTATTGATTTGGTGATTTCTTCTTCAAAGTTCTCTTTGCATTATGTGAAATTTTAACATACCTCTCGCAGTAACTGATACAATAAGCAGATCTTTTTCAATCTTTTATATCAATAAAGACACAAAAGATTGTACAACACAATAAATTTGACCTGACACCTACAGAAAACAATACTCAACAAATGCAGAATATACATCCTTTTGAAGTGCAAATGGAACATTTACCAAAACTGACCATATGCTTAGCTGTAATGAAAGTATTAACAAATTCCAAAGAATTGAAATGATTCTGAGTTACTCTTTAACCATAAGGAAATTACACTAGAAATCAGTAATAAAAGGAAAACTAGTGTTTTTAAACTAAGTGATGCACTTATTAATAACCATGGGTCAAAGGAGAAATCACAACAATGAAATATTTTGAACGGAGTGATAATGGAAAAGATGTATCAAAGCTTGTGAAATGCAGCTCAGGCTGTGCTGAAAGAGAACACCTGGCCTTAACTGCATGCAACTGTTCGTAAGAAGAAAGGATGAAAACTAAGGATCTACAGATCCATCTCAAGAAGTTAAACTACCACCAACAAAACAGCAAAGTAGTAAACCCAGAGAAAGTAGAAGGAAGGAAATAAGAGCAGAAATCAGTGGTACAGAATACATATAATTGAGAAAATCAACAAAGAAAAAGAAAGTGTTGGTTCTGGATTGATCAGAAAAGAGAAAAGGAACAAGTTACTAATATAAGAAATGAAAAACAAATCATTTTCCATCTACAGGCATTAATAAGATAACAAGAGGATATCATGAATAACTTCATGCCAATACATTCGCAAATTTAGATGAAACGGAAAAAATTCCTTGAAATACACAACTTACCAAAACAGACAAGTAACAGAAAATCTGAATAATCCTATGATCTATTAAAGAAAGTGAATCTGTACTTAAAATCTTCCCATAAAAAAGACTCTAGCTCAGAGGCTTCAGTGGTGACTTCTTCCAAACATTTAAATAAGAATAGTAATATTACACAAAGGATAGAACTGCCCAACACTTTTTAGGAAGCCAGCACGATAAGGCAAGAAAAAGAAAAGGTGTAATATTTGCAGATGACATACGGGGTGTTTTAGTGTAAACCATTAAAATAAGTGAATTAAGAAGGTTTCTCAATACAAGGCTAGTATCCAAAAATACCAACGACATTCATATACAACAAATAATTAAAGCAGAAGTTTAAAAAATTACCATTATATTAAAAAATAAAACACCTGAAAATTGAATGAAAAATGTATAAGATCTATCACAGAAAACTACAAAATATTAAAAAATATTTCCTTCACAACTCTTCCAAAAATAGAAAAGGAGGGTACACTTCTTAGGTCATTCTGTGATGTCGGTATTATCCTGTTACCAAAACCAGATAAAGATCACATACGCAAAAAATATATACCAATACCCCTTACGAATACAGATGTAAAAATCCTTAAACCACTAATGACCAAATCCAGCAACATAATTATACGCTATGACCAAGTGGGATTTAATACATTGAAAATCAATGGTGAAGGACAAAAACCACACAATTGTCTCGAAAGACACAGAAAAAGCATTTGATAAAATCCAATGCCCTTTCATGATAAAAACACAAAGAAATTAGGAATAAAAGGGAAGTTCCTCAACATATAAAGACCATCTACAAAAAATCCATACTTAATGGTGAAAGACTGGATACTTTCCTTCTAAGATCAGAAACAAGAAAAGAATGTTCATTTTTGCCACTTTTATTCAACATTGTAAGGAGCCCTGGTGGCACAGCAGTTAAGCGCTCCACTGCTAACTGAAAGGTTGGTGGTTTGAACCAGCTCAGTGGCTCCACAGGACAAAGACCTGGTGACCTGCTCCCGTAAAGACCACAGCCTAGAAAACCCTGTGGGGCAGTTCTACTCTGTCACACGGGGTCGCTATGAGTCAATGGCCCCTAACAACAACAACATTCGACTGGAGACTCTAGTCAGGATGTTACGGATTCAACTGTGTCCCCCAATAAATATGTGTTGTAAATCCTAACCTCTATGCCTGTGGTTATAATCCCATTTAGGAATAGGTTGTCTTTGTCATGTTAAAGAGGTAGGATTAGTGTAGGCTATGTTTTGGGTTAATCTCCTACAAGATATAAAAAGAACAAGCAAGAAAGCAGAGATGGGGGAAGAGAGATGCCAAGCCACACAAAGATCGCCCAGGAGCAGAAGCTCAAAGAGACAAGGACCTTCCTCCAGAGCTGACAGAGAAAGAAAGCCTTCCCCTAGAGCCAGCACCCTGAATTTGGACTTCTAGCCTCCTAAACCGTCAAACAATAAATCTCTGTGGTTAATGCCGTCATCCACTTGTGGCATTTCAGTTATAGCAGCACTAGACAACTAAGACACAGAGCAATCAGGGGGAAAAAGGCATCCAGATTGGAAGGAAGAAGTAAATCTAAATCTATCTGTCTGCAGATGACATGAGCTAATATAATGAAAATCCCAAGTAAGTCACAAAAAGCTAATAGAACTAATAAATGAATTCAGCAAGGTTACAAAATACAAGATCAATATATAAAAAAAATCAACTGTATTTCTATACACTTGCAATGAACAATCCAAATGTGAAATTAAGAAGACAATTCTATTCACAATAGCACTGAAAACAATCAAATACTTAGGAATAAATTTAACCAAAACTTGTACAATGAAAACTACAAAATACTGCAGGAAGAAATTAAACACCTAAATAAATGGAAAGATGTTTATAGTTCTTAAGGCAATCTATAGCTCAACACAGTCCCTATCAAAATCCTAGCTGGCTGTATTTTGCAGAAATTGACAAACTGATCCTAAAGTTCACATGGAAATGCAAGTGACAGCGAACAGCCAAACAATGAAAAAGAAGAACAAAATTGGAGGACTCTTCCTGATTCGAAAATGTACTAGAAAGCTACAGTAATCACGAGTGTGGTACTGGCATAAGAACAGACATACAGATCAGCGGAACAGAACTGAGAGTACAGACATAAACTCTTCCATTTATGGTCAATCGATTTTCAACAAAGCTGCCAAGACAATTCAATAAAAAAATTGTCTTTTCAAAAAACAGTGCTAGGATAACTGGACAGCCACATGCAAAAGAATGAATGTAAAATGCTGCAGCCCCTTTGGAAAATAGACAGCAATTTGCCAAAATGTCAAACAGTTACCATAAAACCCAGCAATCCCACCTCTAGTATATAGCCAAGAGAAATGAAAACAAAGGTGCACATTAAAAACCTGTACAGAATGTTCACAGCATTATTCATAATAACTAAGAAGTGTTAACAACCCATATGTCCATCAACTGATGGATGGAAGAACACAGTATCCATACAATGGAACATTATTCAGCCATAAAAAGGAATGAAGTAATGATACATGTTACAACAGGGATGAACCTTGAAAGTGTTATGCCAAGAGAAACAAATGAGACATGAAAGCCCTATCTTGTATGATCCCAATTATATGAAATTCCAGAAACGGCAAATCCACAGAGACAGAAAATACATCACTGGTTGCCAGGAGCTAGAGGAAGAAGAGAGTGGTGAGTGACTGCTCATGAGAGCAGGGTTTCTTATTGTGATTATGAAAATGTTCTGTAAACAGTGGTAATCACACCACTCTGTAAATATACTAAAAAGCAATGAAATGAACACTTTAAAAGGGTGAACCTTAACAGTGTAAATTACAGCTCAATAAAGTTACTAAAAAATATATTACTGAAAGAAATTAAAGATAAGCTAAATAAATGGAGGTGTGTATCATGTTCATGGATTGAAATACTCAATTCTCCCTGAAACTGATCTTTAGATTTAATTTCGATCCAAAAATCATGGTAAGTTTTTTCTTTTTTTCAGGTGAAAACTGAGCATGCTGGTACTAAAATTTATATGAAACTGCAAGGGGCCAAGATTACTAAGACAAATTTGAAAATGAACATAAACCATCAGCTATCAAGACTTAAGAGGTAAACCTGAACTGATGTATTTTTAAAACGGAACTCCTCATGTTACAGCTCCAAGTACGACACCACACACATACTGAAAAAAAATGAACTGCAATGTCAACGCTTTTTCAATCACAAGCCAGAAGCACAGAGGTTAGATGCAAGCTCAAAGAGAAAGGGTCAAGCAACCCGAAGTCAGGAAAAAAGTTGTTCCACTTGGGACTAATGGGTAGAGGGCAAAGAGTTGGAAAGAGTTTTTGTTTTGTTTTTAAATATAAATAAGATGCTTGAAAACCCAAACCATCACACTCTAGTTCAGTATTCACAAAAACTGCCCATATACATTGGTCTACAATGGCTCAAGGTAACTAGGTGTGGAAAAGCTGCATGACAGAAATTTAGTGGACAGCTTGTTAGGGAAATCACCCAAGTGTAGCACCCAATCATTTTGCCTCTAATTTTGTTAAAAAGTAGAATAAGATAGTCTTTATAAGATCTGAAAACAAGTAAGACCTCACAATTTTTTAAAAATGTGTTTACTTCCACGAGTTTTTCATTGTTTAATGAATACGAACCTGTTCCTTTTCTAGAAGACCTGCCCTTAGTCACTGTTGGTTTCTTCTTCACAGCTGGTGCCTGAGCAGCAGAATGCTCCCTCCACCTCCTAAGCTGGAAATTAATGAACTTCCACATCATGAACGCTTGAGTAATGCAAATGGATGCCAGAACAGCAATTCTGAGAATATTCAGAATGAAACAAAAATCAGAGTGCACCAAAACAATGCCCCTTAATAAAGTATTCTATTTCCTCCTTATTTTAAGAATAAATTATTGAACACATTATAGGTTCAGCCATATTAAATCTTCTGACAAAATTTTCTTTTTCCAACAACTCTTTTTTTTTGGTAGGGAAAGAGATGAAGGATCTTTTTACTTTAGTGACTGATATTTTAACTTCTTTGTTTACTTACTATGGATAACTGATTCAGATAGTCCTTTATTTTGAATCAAATATAAGACTGAAGTTTCCAGAATAAATCAAAAACATCTTTTTTTTTTGTCTTAGAACAAACATAATGAAGGTAAATAAACACATAAATTAAAATAAAAACCCTCAACTATAATAAGCAACTTGATATTTGATACCCAATCTACAACAGTGGAAAAAATTCATGCCTAAAAACGGAAGGGACTGCCATGACAGGATTAACTTAGTGCTAATCCCCACTCTGCCTAGTACAGTATGTCAGTAAGTAATTATTCCATTAATAATTTATCCCAACAGTTAATTAAATGCTTTAGTACTTCAGTTTAGACATATGGAACTGCAACAGGTATGAAACCAAATCACATGAGTCCTTTCCCTAACCCCCATATTCATCCCTTCCCTTCTCAGATGTGCACATCAGAGAGAAACCGATACTGTATTTTACATAGCAGTGAAAACAAAAGTGATAAATGGACTGTACCTAACGGCCAATACATTGAAGTTTCCAGCACTGAGATCAAACTTCTGATTCTCTGCTCTTGCAAGGCCAAAGCCAACAGTGAGTACCGAAAGAATTAAAGTCAGAAGTCTTCCCAAAACAAACAGAACTGCCCACAGAGAAAACCTGTAAGACAAACATCTTAAGTAAAATTCATAATATCACAAAGACAAGAAAAGAGCCTAGTAGAAATTATATTCTTGCTAAGTAAACGCATACTAAAATAGTATTTCCTATTGTTCTTCAAAAAAGGATTCTACAGACAAACGTTTGGGAAATGGTACATATTCTGTCACACTCTTGGAGATGTTTAACACATATATATATAGCACATATTTAAAGTTCTAAGGACTCCAGTAAAGAAATCTGTTTAATTTCTACTTCATGTTCCTCAGAACTACTGGTATAGAGAACAATTTTTAAAAATGCTGGACAGAAAAAAGAAAACTGTGCCGTAAAGAACAAGACACCTAGTTCCTGTCTAAGGGTCCTGGTTTTCCTTTTTTTTTTAAGGCTTTGTACTCCTTACAAGTCATAGCACTCCAATTCTGTTTTCAGTCCAATTTTCCCATCAAAAACCTTTTAGTATCTTTATTCTAAGGCTATATAGCTCATTATTTAATTTTCTCCTGAAAGTTCATTTCTCTATTACTCCTTCTCCAAAAAAAGAGGCAATAAACAAGGTAAGAGAGGTTATAAGAGAAAAGTAAATCCCCTCAAAATCTTCAAAACTGCGAAGTTCCAAAACAACATCTATCTAGCAGAGTAGACTCCATTTTAGAGAATACGACAGCAACTCTGGATTGCTGAATAGTTACATTTTCTTGAAAGACTATAAAGTAGCACAATTCTCTACATCAAGGACTTTGGCAACCTAGACACTGACTTTAAGTACCTGTGACACAAGAAATAAAATGGCTAAATAACTTACCCTTTCTGATACTTTTCATCACTAAAATAAAACAGGCGGGAAATGTGGAAAAGAAATTCAACAAAATAATGCAGCACCAAAAGAATAAGTCCTAGATGGTTCAAGCTGTTAAAAAGACAAATTCAAAATGGAAAGGTTAATTATCAATTAAGACAGAGTAGCATACCACCTGCTCAGTCCATATACACACCCAAGAAAAATCCCAACTCACTTCAAAAGATAAGCTCCGGCAATGTGAAAAAGGTAAAGACCAATGTAGACAAGCTGACGAGGAATATCCTCCTGTTAAGACAGAAAAATGCACTATAGATTACAAAGTGCTGAAATTTAAAAACTATATTTCTGTTTAAGAGCAGTGTGGTAGAGTGATAAAGGCACTATAATGGAAGTAAAAGACCCCTCATGCCCAGTTAGCTACATAGCTTAAGCAAACCACTTCTCTTTACTTCAGCCATCTACTCTGTAAAATGTGAGCACTACTCGGATTTGCTTCTATCAGATGAACTCAGAATCTCTTTCACCACTAAGATCTATGACTCTTATTATAATAAATATTTATTATGCATCACAATATTAATAACCATAATTATATGCTGACCAATTTGATGTTCTTCCAGTATTGAAACTGATGTTTACAGCAGTAGAGATCCTCTTGTTTACCTAAAATTCACATTTGTAGCTAACACTTTAGCGCCTTCATTGTCAGCTGTAGTCATTAAAGCTGGAGGCTAAAACCTTATGCTTTCCTAATATAACGTCTTATGATACCACCTGATTGTATACTCTGTCACTTCAATAATTCTGTTAAGCCCAAGTACCAATATTTTACTTTCTGCTTTTTTTCCATAATACCTACTTATCCTGGTTATTTTAGAAAGAGTGTTTTTTAAAACTATAAGTCAAGACCTATTAGTGGATTCTGAAATCAATTTAGACGTTACAGCATCATCTTTTAAAATATGAAATAAAGTAACACACAAGCACGTATGCATTGGATGTAGAATCTATTTTTTAGAATCCTGGCTTCCAGTAAAAACTGTATGAAATACACTGACATAGGTAAGTTCAATCAACACCTGCTGATGAATGGCTACAATACCTCATTTCTACTCTCCCTGGCTTTGGCAATTTTATTAGCCTGGTTAGTACTATTCAAAGGAGTCCTGGGGGCGCAATGGTTAATCATGTGGCAGCTAACCAGAAAGTCGGCAGTTCCAATCCACCCAGTGGCTCCATCGGAAAAAAGGCCCTGGCAGTCTGCTCCTGTACAGATTAAGGCTAGGAAACCCTATGGAGCAGTTCTACTCTGTCATACTGGGTTGCTGTGAGTTGGAATCGACTCAATAGCACAAGGCAACAACAGTGCTATTCATGTACTATGGCTGCTAATTAAAAATATTAAGTGGTAAATTGATGTAGGCAGGCTGAATTTATTCCTTTCAAACCTCACTAAATTCACCTCTACCATCTATTATAGTTGAGTACAGGTCTCTGTTGGCTTTTATTTCTCCCCCCACATTGTAGGAGAGCTACTTCACCAACTCTCCTGAGAAAGAATAGAGATTTTACTACTCTAAGTTTGAAATGAAAAACTCCTCTTTAACACAACGGTACAGAGATCAAGTGTTATAAAGGACATATAGGAGAGTCTGAATAGTACTATACATAGTTCTATATTTTGGGACACTTGGGGAAAATTCTGAAGACCTAATAACAAATTTACAGTGGTTCTTCCAACTGGAGAGAGAAGTATGTCTTAAGATCCTCCCTAAATGAGTTTCAAATGTCCAATGAAAATGTTCCCCTTACAAAAAGGAGACAAGAAAAAAAGGGTGTAGAGATAGCATGCTTCGAAGTTCAACCACAAGGGATCTCTTTCTTCTATTCAAGTAACTTCCGAAAAGCATCTGTAGTATTGTCATTACAATCTGATAAGCTCTGGATAAAGAGCTTCCACTATGTACACGACATACCAGTGTTTCACGAAGTGTGGTGTATAAATCACTGGCACTATGTAGAATAGTTTGACAACAAACAACAGAACTTTTATTTACCTTTAAGTAAAATATTTTATTTGTTTTAATATACCTTAATAATTAGGGTGCTGTATTATTGCACAGGAGCCCTGGTGGCACACTGGTTAACTGCTCAGCTGCTAACCGAAAGATTGGGGGTTTGAGCCCACCAGCTGTTTCATGGGAGAGAGACATGGCAGTCTGCTTCTGTAAAGATTTACAGCCTTGGAGAACCTATGGGGCAGTTCTACTCTGTCCTATAGGGTTGCTATGAGTCGGAATCGACTTGACGACAACAGTTTAGTTTCCTGTATTACTGCATAGAATAAGGATATCATCAAAAGTATAAATTAGTAGTATCTATATATGGCAAAAAGGAGTCCTGAAATGGCACAATGGTTAATGGTCGCTGCTAATCAAAAGGTCGACAGTTTGAACCCACTGGCTGCTCCTCGGGAGAAAAGATGTGGCGATCTGCTCCCATAAAGATTACAGCCTAGGAAACCCTATGGGGCAGCTCCACTCTGTCCTATAGGGTCCCTATGAGCCACAATCAACTCAACAGTGGACAACAACTACATATGGAAAACATGAAGGAGGCATGTAAATGACCGGATATGGAACAGTCTGCCATATTCCTTCCGATGTTTAATTAACGCACCTAATTTATGAGAAAAACAGAGGGGCCCTGATACATATTATGGAAGCTTTTTAGTTTTCTAAACTGCTGACTGAACACTAATTTCATTACATAAAAACCTGTGTACAACCAAAACCTACTGCCGTCAAGCCAATTCCAACTCATAGTGACTTTACAGGCCAAGGCAGAACTGCCCCATACGGTTTCCAAGGAGCAGCTGGTGGATCTGAACTGCTGAACTTTTGGTTAGCAGCCAAATGCTTAACCACTGCACCACCAGGGCCCCATAAAACTTATGTAAGTCAATGTCAAAAACTAATTTGCTGGAATAACAGCTGGGAACACTTTTACAGAGATTTGTAACTTCCAGGGAAAGTTAAAAAGAGATTTAACTTTAAAGAAGAAACCCAAATAAAGTTTCAATGTACATGTTGGTCATTTAGCAGAGAAAAATCAAACCTCCCTATTTTTTCCTCACTGACAAATATAAAGATTTTATTATAAATTACAAACTACACTTCAAAAAGTCATTTCACCCCAAAGAGATAAAATACTTAGGAATAAATCTAACCAGGGATGTAAAAGAAAGAAAACTACAAATCACTACTGCAAGAAACCAAAAGAGACCTACACAAATGGAAAAACATACCATGTTCATGGATAGGAACTCAACACTGTGAAAATGTCACCACTACTCAAAGCGATCTACAGCTATAATGCAACCTCGATCCAAATTCCAACAGCATTCTAATCACCAATTTTATATGGAAAGGAAAAAGACCCCAGATAAGTAAAGCATTACTGAAGAAGAACAAAGTAGAAGGCCTTATGCCACCTGATCTCTATACAGCCACAGTAGTCAAAATAGTCTGGTACTGGTATAACCACAGATGTGTAGACGAATGCAACAGAATAGAGAACTCAGATGTAAATCCATCCACCTATGGACAGCTGATCTTCAACAAAGAGTCAAAGTTCATTAAATGGTGAAGAGACAGTCTCTTTAACAAACGGTGCTGGCAAAACTGGATATCTATCTGTAGAAAAATGAAATAGGACCTATACCTCACACCGTACTCAAAAACTAACTCAAAATGGATCAAAGACCTAAATATAAAACCTGAAACTATAAAGATCACGGAGGAAAAAACAGGGACAATGCTCGGGGCTCTAATATGTGGCATAAATAGAATACCAAACATAACTATAAATGCATACACAGCAGAAGATGAACTAGATAAATGGGACCTCCTAAAAATTAAACACTTAGGCTCAACAAAAGACTTCTCCAAAAGAGAACCTTCAGATTGCAAAAAAACTTTTGGCTATGATATATCTGACAAGAGTGTAATCTCTAAAATTTATAGAAAACTTCAATACCTCAACAATAAAAAGACAATCTATTAAAAAAATGGGCAAAGGATGTGAACAGGCACTTCACCAAGGACATTCAAGTAGCTAACAAACATGAAGAAATGTTTGTAATCATTAGCAATTAGAGATGCAAATTAAAACTATAATAGGATACCATCTGACCCTGACATGACTGGCACTAATCAAAAAAAAAAAAACAGAAACCAAGTGCTGGCAAGGTTGTAGGGAGATTGGAACTCCTATACACTGCTGATGGGAAGGTAAAATGGTACAACCACTATGGAAAATGGTATGGCGATTCCTCAAAAAGCTAGAAATACCACAATCCCACTCTTAAGTATACAGCCTAAAGAAATAAAAGCTGTGACACAAACAGACATATACACACCCCTGTTCACTGCAGCATTATTCAAAAAGATGGGAACAACCTAAGTGCTCATCAACAGATGAATGGATTAACAAACTGTGGTACATACACACAACAGAATACTACACAACGATAAATAATAATGATGATGAACCTGTGAAACACCTCACAAACAGAGATGAATTTGAAGGACATTATGCTGAGTGAAATAAGTCAATCACAAAAGGACAAATATTGTATGAGACCACTATTATAAAGTAACAACAAAAAGTTTACACACAGGAAAAAAAAAGAAAGAAAAAATATTCTTCGATGGTTAACAGGGATGGGAGGGGGAGTGACGGAAAACTACCAAATAAAGATATGTGTTAATATTGGTGAAGGTAAAGGCAATACACAATATGGGAGAAGTCAGCACAACATGACCAAGGCAAGAGAGGAGACCGAGAGGAATGCAAGTATAAAGGGCAACTACTATAGCACAGATAATCCTGCAACAAAAGTATTTTAAACAATCATTTACAAATGGATACATCAATAGATATGCTAAGAGGTATGGGAGGGTATAAGGGAGCACTCGTCCACCAGCAGATACAAGTTTGGTGGTAGTTATTTCTACACACATCACTGTAGGTGCTCCTCATATATTAATACAGACAATAAAGCACACAGGGGCATTGTCAGGGAAGCCTCTTAGTCATAACCAAATGCCTCGCAGGATGAAGCTCCTAGGCTTGAAGGCAAAGGACTATAGACATCTATGTCAAGGGGCACAACACAGTTCATAAAGACAATGTCCTGCATCTGACTTTGGTGGGTGGGGTCTGGGGTCTTAAAATCTTGTGAGCAGCCATCTAAGCTACAACTACTGGTCTCTTCCTGTCTG